CCTGGTGTTCGTCGGTTCCGAGGGCGACGGGTCGGAGGTGCAAGAGCAGGACATTGCCCAGCTTTGTGAAGAAGTGCAGGAGAGCCAGTGCCTGGGTCATATGAATAAGATTGGCAAGGTCATGCTGCAAATGATTTGTTGGGAAGAGTTCATAACAACACTGACTGCTCAGGAAGCGCCGCAAGATCACACGTATGCAAGAAGAGCTTGAAAAGCTGACGGGTGAGTCTGAGTCGAAGCCCAAGGATGGCAACTAGTTGGTCGGAGGTTTGCTGGCCTTCAGCACTTTATGTCTGTATGCATTGTGTTAAGACTTCTTCGTCATACATGTGGATTCCAGGCCGGCAGGATCGACCCATCATTTTTGCATCATGAGTCAAAATCAATCCCCAACTGCAAAAGAGAGATGCAAGTGGTGGGCTATGATTACCATCAGTCTCCTGGATCTCACATGCCAGGTATGAGTCTCCACACTCTCACATGTGAGTGTTCAGTGATCATTCCGGTTCGAGCATCTAGCAGGCCAAATCCACAGTCTGTCGGAATGGTCCGCCATGTGCAAAGGGCGAAAACAGTGTCATTGTCACAGCCTTTGCCTAGCAGGCCAAATCCGCAGTCTGTCGGAATGGTCCAGCATGTGCAAAGGGCGAAAAGAGTGACATCATTGTCACAGCCGCAGAGCGACATCCGCATCAAGACCGAGAAGAAGACAGTCAAGACCGAGGTCGGAGTCGTGAAACTTGAGAAGAAGAATGATGTGAAGAAGGTCCACGGCAAGGGGTCGGAGGTCATGGTCAAAAGCGAGAAACCGAGCAAAAAATACAGACGCAATGTCGAGACGGACATAAAGAAGATGCAGGTGCGAGCAGGACCATGCTGTTCAAAGGCAGCCTTCCGGCGTTGTGTCCTCAGTGTGGTGGACGAGATTGGAAGCAAGGTCAGAGTTTCACCCGATGCCATCGACAAGCTTCAGATCGCGTCGGAGGCTGGGGTCCGAGTCTGAATTATCATCACTCCGAGAAGCACTCGACATGTCATGAGCTCGCTCTGCAGGCATTAATGACCAACTTCGCGCGCTCCCGTGCTCATATGAGGTCACTTCCGGCCTTGGTAGCCCTTGCAAATAGTTTGCCCGAAGATCTGCGGCAGGCACTGCTGTCCAGGTAGAACCGGTGATTGTTGGACCTGCTCTTCAACAGTCAAGGACCTTAAAAACCAGAGGTCACACATGCCAAACCCTGAAAGCAGTTCATCGTTTCTCACACTTTTTTCAGGAGGGCAGGTCTGCAGATTCCACACAAAGGTGTCGGATGGGTTTATACGGGTCTGGGCACTGTCTTGGTCAGTGGCCTGTGACACAAGCTTCCTGAGTCCTGGGGCTGGTCGGAGGCAAAATGCATAAGTGCTGCTGCAAGTCCCGTCTGTGCTCTAGGCTGCTACATCTGTGCATGGGTCATGCCTTCCCTGCTGCCAGGCTGTGTGCCTCACAGAACACTTTCGGCCAGGGACCGAGTGGTTTTGCTCCTTCAAAGCACTTGAAGTGTGCTTGCAGAAGCTTCTGTGTGAATTCCGGACATGTTTTTGTGGAACCAAGTCGACCTGTGGCAGTCTCCAGAAGCACATTTTGGCTTTTTCTGCTCCTGGTTGGCATCAGTGTAAACCTCCTGAACAGGTTTTGCAACCATCAGAATCCTTTAAATTCAAGTTTGGAGTTTAGGGTTTAGCAAATCAGAGACAAACAAAGAAAGCAGTGTTCTTTTAGTTTGGTGCTTGAAACCGACCAAATCGTGCTTTTGGAGCCTCCAAAAGCACGTTTTGGCTTGTTCTGCTCTTATTTGGGACAGTGCAAACCTCCTGAACAGGTTTTGCAACCATCAGAAACAAGCAAAGAAGGCAGTTTTCGTTTAGTTTCGTGCTTGGAACCCACCAAATCGTGCTTTTGGCGCCTCCAAAAGCACATTTTGGCTTGTTCTGCTCCTATTTGGGACAGTGCAAACCTCCTGGGCAGGTTTTGCAACCACCAGAATCGTTTAATTTCAGGCTTAGGGTTTAGGGTTTGGTGAATGAGAAACAAGCAAAGAAAGCAGTTTTCTCCTTAGTTTGGTGCTTGAAACCGACCAAATCGTGCTTTTGGAGCCTCCAAAAGCACGTTTTGGCTTGTTCTGCTCTATTTTGTGACAGTGCAAACCTCCTGGGCAGGTTTTGCAACCACCAGAATCGTTTAATTTCAGGCTTAGGGTTTAGGGTTTGGCAAATGAGAAGCAAGCAAAGAAAGCAGTTTTCTCCTTAGTTTGGTGCTTGAAACCGACCAAATCGTGCTTTTGGAGCCTCCAAAAGCACGTTTTGGCTTGTTCTGCTCTATTTTGTGACAGTGCAAACCTCCTGGGCAGGTTTTGCAACCACCAGAATCGTTTAATTTCAGGTTTAGGGTTTAGGGTTTGGTGAATGAGAAACAAGCAAAGAAAGCAGTTTTCTCCTTAGTTTGGTGCTTGAAACCGACCAAATCGTGCTTTTGGAGCCTCGAAAAGCATGTTTTGGCTTGTTCTGCTTCATTTTGTGACAGTGCAAACCTCCTGGGCAGGTTTTGCAACCACCAGAATCGTTTAATTTCAGGCTTAGGGTTTAGGGTTTGGTGAATGAGAAACAAGCAAAGAAAGCAGTTTTCTCCTTAGTTTGGTGCTTGAAACCGACCAAATCGTGCTTTTGGAGCCTCCAAAAGCACGTTTTGGCTTGTTCTGCTCTATTTTGTGACAGTGCAAACCTCCTGGGCAGGTTTTGCAACCACCAGAATCGTTTAATTTCAGGCTTAGGGTTTAGGGTTTGGTGAATGAGAAACAAGCAAAGAAAGCAGTTTTCTCCTTAGTTTGGTGCTTGAAACCGACCAAATCGTGCTTTTGGAGCCTCCAAAAGCATGTTTTGGCTTGTTCTGCTCTATTTTCTGACAGTGCAAACCTCCTGGGCAGGTTTTGCAACCACCAGAATCGTTTAATTTCAGGCTTAGGGTTTAGGGTTTGGCAAATAAGAAACAAGCAAAGAAAGCAGTTTTCTCCTTAGTTTGGTGCTTGAAACCGACCAAATCGTGCTTTTGGAGCCTTCAAAAGCATGTTTTGGCTTGTTCTGCTCCTATTTGGGATGAGCACAAACCTTTTGGGCAGGTCTTGCAACCGTCAGAATCATTTAATGTCAGGTTCAGAGAGTTTAGGGTTTAGCAAATCAGAAACAAACAAAAGAAAGCAGTTTTCTGCTAGTTTGGCACTTGAAACCTACCAAATCGTGCTTTTGGAGCCTTCAAAAGCACGTTTTGGCTTGTTCTGCTCCAATTTGGGATGAGCACAAACCTTTTGGGCAGGTTTTGCAACCGTCAGAATCATTTAATGTCAGGTTCAGAGAGTTTAGGGTTTAGCAAATCAGAAACAAACAAAAGAAAGCAGTTTTCTGCTAGTTTGGTGCTTGAAACCTACCAAATCGTGCTTTTGGAGGCTCCAAAAGCACATTTGGGCTTGTTTTGCTTTGTTTGGGATCCGTGCAAGCCTCGAGGCAGGTTTGGCAAATCAGGAAGTATCTTGTTTACTTAGGCAGGCCTTCCAGCAGCCCGTGATGGAGGCAGAGTCGATCATCATCCTTGTTGTTCAATGCTTCTTTGGCTTCATGAATGCAATCTTTGGCACGGACAGGCACCATGTCATAGACTGCTTCATGGCTTGGCCAGGAAGCCGTGGCCTCGGCTTTGCAGCTCCTTGCACATGAGTGAGGTCGCTGCAAGCAGAACATGTCACCAGAATTTGTGCCGCTGCATCTTACCGGAAGCTTGCAGCACAGCCCCGGCTTTAAGGACATTGGCCACCTTGAGAGACTTAGGTTCAAACTTACTACCTGCCACTTACTAGTTTGGCCACTGGCCATTTGTATGGGTTAGGCAAAACCTGTCGCCATGGATGCTTCGGGCACAAATGCTGGAGGCACCTCATGACGAAAATGATTGCTGCCAATTCAATCACTCCAAACCCATCGGTTTGACCCAAACAGCTCCAGGGTTTCAGGATTCACTCAGGACTAGCTGCCAACTGAATCTCCAAACTAAGTGCCTTCCCTGCCCTTATATCGGGATTCAGTCAATTGGAAGGTAGCTGGCATCTGAACCTCTGAATTAAGCGGTTTGTGGCAAACTGCTTTATTTCGAGGTTCAGGGGACGGTAACCTCGGGATTCAGTCGAACATGATCTAATTGTGTTGTAGTCTTAGACATGTTTCGCTTAAATCACGGGTTGCAGCTGGCTGAACCCTTCAATTCAGCGATTTGCTGCAAACTGGTTTATTTCAGGGTTCAGGGAACACCAACCTCGGAAATCAGTAGAACCACAGTCATGAAGGTTTCTCCATCCAGGATGATTATGAGGAAGAGCTGGATTTTGCTGCTTTGGGCCATGAGCTACCAGGCTTTCAAATCAGCGACACCGTGCCTGCCAGACCAGTGGCAGAGCATGCAGTGCTGGAGCTTGGGTCAGAGGATGATGCTGCAAGCTGCAGTGGCTGGAACCCTGGTCAGGACGTCGGTGGCTTCATCTCCAGATTGCAAGGCAGAGCCAATTACACAAATTGCTTTAAACATAAGATATCAGTTTTTGTCCAGTCCATAGTTTGTGATGGCAGGCCTGGGAGTTCAGGCACAAGTTTTATTGGCGAACACGTACCTCAATCTCGGGAAGCTCCCGGCAGAGCTGTTGACACAGTTATGTCAGAGATTGGGAAACCGTGAGCAAGGTGTCCGTCCTCTGGTGGCTCGGGCGGCTAGCCATCTTCTGTGTGTCAATGCTGCAACAGTGACTTAGTGTCTTACTGGTTGATTTTTCAGACTTTATAGGATTTGTAGTAGATGTGCTATCATATGGAAGCCAAGAGTTTCAGTTCTGCTTTGGGGCTAGAACTCAGCCAAGGTGAGAAGCATTGTGAGCCGTCTAACACAAGCGGCCTGGACACCACAAGAACAATGCAGAAACTCTATGCAAAACACAAATGGGTCGGAGGAAGAAGAGTTTGCTTCAACAGCGCGCAAAAGCAAGCGCAATGCTTCTTCAATCACCCGTGTTCTGATACGGGAAGCACTTTTCTGTATTTCGCATGGAGAGTCCACAGACTTCTTTTTGCAGAGCCTGGCAAAGCTGCGCCTTTATCAGGTAGATGTGGGTGACAAATATGCCTCCAGGCAGTATCTGCAGCTGGTGGAGATGGCTTGTGGCCGACTCTTGCAGCTGCAAGATAGTCAGCAATTGCAGGATGTGCTTCCCGGCCTGAATGTTCAGGCTCCCATCTCCATCTGTTATGATGGGGTTTCCATTGGTGACAGCCTCTTCTCCCGCCAAGAGAGCTTTGAGATAGTGTTTGTCTTCAGTGCAAGTGTCACCACTGGTCAGATGCAGGCATTCTTCATTGGTTGTCCTTCTGAAGGAATGGACAAGACTGGTGAACGACAGGCCGACTGTGTTGCAAGGGCATTGGAGCAGCACCCTTGGAAGCTGGGTGCAGGCAACATCAGAGGCCGCCTGCTTTCAATGATCTGTGGGGATGGTGCCATAGCCAAAGGTGGGTCGGAGGCACGACACTCTTCGACCGGCTCCGCGAACATCTTGTCGGAGCGATTTTATCCTGGACAACACCATTTGGTCCAATGGGAGTTCTTTCATAGGTGAGAGTTTCCGAAAATAGGGGACCCTAATTATAGTACCCTAAATAGTGGGACCCTTGTTATAGGCACCCCAAAATCAGGAACCCCTCACTTTCGGAATCTCCCAGGTCAGAGGCAGCCTTTCGGCATAGTATCAGTGCTTCGGACCCAGCACAGGAACTGTTTGCACTGGCACGAGGAATGGCTCAACAGTTCGGCCATGGAACTGGCAGAGTCCTTCTTCGGTCGGTGGCTGATTTCTCTGCATCCACTTCATCTGCAGCGGCAGACTGTGGTGGAACCAGGCAAGGAGAGTCTTTGATCCGGGTCGGAGGCAACCTGCTCAAGAACTATAAAATGTATGGCTTAGCCATACATGCAAAGATCTTTCGCAAAAGAGAAGGTCATGGAGCCACGAGTCAGACCAAGCTGGCCACAATGGGTCGGAGGCTCCTCTCGATAGACTTTGTGACCTTCTTGTGTTGCTTCCAGGACCACCTGTTCTGCATGTGTAAAGGGCTTCCAGGGGCAGGTTTGGTTTGTGGTGATAAGAGTTTTGAAGTGATGCCCCAATCGGTGTTGATTTGGATGGTCTTCTATCAGGGCATCTTATCTTGCCTTATGTGAAGCCGGCAAATATCCACATGAGCTTTAGTAGTTCAATTCCCCACATCTCCGAGCACCATGCCCACATCATCCCGGCAGGACCTCATGGTGTCCCAGCGGATCTTCGTGCTGAGCCTCCAGCATACAGCAGACGTCCCGTGGGCTGCCCAGAAATCCTGGCAGCAGAAGCAGGCCCAGGCAAAAGCAGACCTGGAAGACCTTCACAAGCTGAGGGTACGAGCCACCGTCATCTGCTTGCTACAACACTACTGTACACATGCCGACCTCAAGAGCCTCTGTGTGGCTTTCTTATATACACGACCTGGGCGTCGCTTCCCCACATTTTCGCGGGAGCTATTCAACATATCCATTCTGCGTGTTTTTGCTGATGTACAACTTCAGGTGAATGTTGACATTAGTCAAGACACAATGTGTGTGACACCCCGGTGCACATGTCGATGGCGAACATCACCGGAAGAGCACAGGAGGAGCCGGGTCCGAATGCAGGTCGGTGGCTTGGCAAACTTTCCTTGGCATGGGTGTTGTAATTCTTTATTTGGACCTTGAGTAGCACTGGGCTTGGTCACCTGTTCATCAGATGAAAAAAGCCGAGGTGGACGTTCAGTGTCAGTCTTCGTACCTGAGTATGTCGCCAAGGTCAAGATGACAAAAGCTGAAGCCCAGCAAGACTTGCAGAAGGACTTGGTGTCCGTGCCCCTGCGTTATGACACCTTCAACCGCCCCCCAGTCAGGTCGTGAAGTTGGAAGATGATAGTGTAAGTCCCTGCCCATCTGTTGATTGATTGATGGTAGGTCCAGAAACCCGAAGCTTCCACCCCTGAGGTCGCAAGTCCAAGGCTTGTCACTGTTCCACAAGCACCTCTATCAGTGTTCGACCAGCCGGTTTGTACCATATGCCCAGCAAATGGTGCAGCAGGGCTTGGCTTCTGTGGAGGGATTCCTTCAGTTGCTCATTGCAAGCTATGAGGAATACTGGCATGACGTGGGTGTGCCAAGACATATCAGCTCATTGAACGAAAACCTGGCAACTGTGTGGAACTTTGATGCCATGTCCATGCAGAGAAGCCCCGGGTCTGAGCATCTGCAGAGCCTGGACCATGTCTATGGTATTTTCAAGCCACGGCTGGCACATGTGAGGTGGCCGACATCCCAGGATTTCCTTCACGTGCAACATGTTTGGCCCGACCAGAAAGAGATGCATCGGCAGTATAAGGTGTTGTGGAACAAGGTTCATCTGGACCGCTCTCACTGTGAGTGGCGATCACCTGTGGAGTGTCGTGCTTCTTTAGTGCAGCCGCCAGCTATCCTCCTGACATGTCTCGGCAGAAAACTGCAGGAAGTGACACCAGAAAGAAGGTCGGTCAAAGCTGTCAATTTGACATGTCTGGTGTTTTTGATTGCAAGTTTCCTGTGGAAGCCACCCAGCAGCTTCAAAGTTCGACCAGCTTCAGTTGCTTTGCTGCAGCGTGGTGGTCGACTGGAGACTGGGGCCTTCGCTATGATGACAAAGGCACCTTTCAAGCAGAAACTCATCTTCATTTCTGAAATCAGTTGGTCCCTACAGCCTGCTGCTGTGGCTGCATCCTTTTTTCTGGAGAAGTCAATGCACCAATTGACTTCGAGAGCCACAGGTCGGAGGACTCATTGCTGGCATGCTGCTTTCTTGCTGTTGGCTTCTACCACTGCTCAGGGAGCCAGCAGTGTTTGTGAGAGGGTCGGCTCCCTCTTACATGGCCTCGAGAAAGGGGAGAGCTCGATCCATCCGGCCCGTGTAGCCGATCGACTACGGATCAGAGTAGCCCAGATGGAGGCAGGTGCGTGGGATACAGCATCCACAGACAGAGATTCTTGTAGTTGATAGCCCTAATTTATGTGCTGCCCTGCCAGGTGATAGGTGGTGCCCGAGATGAAGCCATTGTGGACACACTGGTAGAAGCTTTTCGCAGTAAGAATCCAACGATTCAGAGGCAAGCTCAGCACAAAAGGTTTGAGCGTGGGTCGGAGGTCACAGGGAATCCAACCTTGGATCGTCGGGTTGAGTTGTCGGACCTCAAGGCCAGCAGCTACTATTTGGGTCCTCTGGAGCGATTGCAGGATGAAGAAACTGCTGTCGGCTTAGAGCATTTGCTGAAGCATGCGGCCGAGGAGCGCGCGCGGTCTGAGGCGGTTCACAGACCAGTGTGCTTGGATGCACAAACACGCTCGGCTTTGATGAAAGTGGTGACCCAGAGACGTGGCAGATTGCAGGTCGATGCTTTACCGGCCTTCGTGAGAAAAGGTCGAAATGCTGCCAAAACACCACTGCGATCTACCGGCCGAAAACAAATGGCTGAATGGTTGGAGTCAGAGGAAGGCCGACAATGGAGAGCTCAACGGGATGAACTGTTGCTTGGCTACTGTTTGGGCATACATTTCTGTTGCAGATGGCAGGGTGTCCTTTTGTGTTAACTTAACTTTTCGGACACCCAAGAGGTGGAAGGGCTTTTCCGCTCAACCACAAGAAGCAGCACATGTGAATGATGATTGACATGAACACTGTACAGTGGTCGGTCACAGCTGCTTTTGCAGCCATGCATGTGACGTCTATTTGTTTCCGGCTGCTTTCAGCAACCAATGGGGCTTGCCAACTGCAACTCGTGAATGCTGCAGCCCACATGCAAAACCAAAGTCGTTGCAGCAGCTCTTTCTTTGGGCAAGGCCTTTGGGCAAGGCCACTCAGCATGTTGCTGACCAGAGTGATCATAACTTGTCCGTCCCAGGTGTCCAGAAACATCATGGAGTGGCCGGCCGGGCGCTTGTTCATGACACCCAAATTTCCGAAATCCGGATCTTCGAACAGGTGTCTGTTGTCACCTGCTAGGCTGGGAGGAGCGACGGTCATCTCATGGAGGGGTTCATCCTGCCAGGCTCTCAGTGTATGATTGCCGAATGCCCCTCGGTTGTCATTTGATCATTATGTCAGGTCTCCTATGGTGCAAGACATGGAAGGATGGCTTGCCAGGCTCTCGTGTAATGCAACTGCTCAAAAGTGTCTGTGCAAATGCTTGTGTTTCACTATGCAGTCCCTGCTGATCCGAGCACCTCCATGCTGTGTTTGTGTCTCCCATGAGATTTTGGGCTCCAGGGTGCCTGCTAGGCTTTGGGCTGAAACATGTCGTTCGGGCAGCCTCCTTGTGTCATAGAGCGGGCCAAGAAGGTCAAATTAGATGACATTTCAGTGGCTGAAGGCTCAGGTTGGAGGCCATATGTTCTGTGTGTGTGTGTGTGTGGGTGTCTTCTGTAGCCCGGCTTGGTCCAGCAGAGATCATCAGTGTCAAGCAGGCCATTGGAGGAGAGCCGTCGTGACAAGATTGTTGATGACCTCTTGACAAATGGCATCACAGCCTCTACACGGTCCCAGCCACAGCTCCTCATGCTGGCAGATCAGTCAGGGCCTGCATTAGATGGTGATGAGCCTTGGCTGAGCAGGATCCTGCTTCATGGTTCATCTGTAAACAAATGACATCTGCAGTTCTTGGTGTGAGATTCTAGCATACCTCCAAAATTAATGTTTCAGGGACGAATCCTCATCGCCGATGGCCTCCATTTTATCAGTGCCTTGAAGAAGGCCTTCGACCGATGCCAACAAGAGACGGCACAAGGTGTTGCGGCCAGTACCACTTATGACCCCAGGTTGCTGGATGCATCTTGGCTTTGCAAGTACAGTCAAATGCATAATTGAGGCATCCTCTAACTGACCCAGCTCATGACTTGTGCTGATGATAAGGCTTGGCAATCTGGTATCTTTATTGATATGATTGCTTTCCAAGAAGACCATCCTGATGTCCGCTTCAGTTGGTTCAGTGCAGCCCATGATGAAGAGGCTGACAAGGCAAAGTCCACTAGTATAGTGCTGAAGATCGCCGTTGTTGAACGTGCAGTGCAGCTTGGCTATTTCTCAGGCATATCTAGGAGTAGCAGCTGTTCAGAAGCTTCCGGTCGTGTTTGTCAAGCTGTCCGGAAAAAGCATTCAGGAAACGCACGGTCGGAGGAGATCTACAAGCAGCAACTCAGCACCTGATCCAGCTACTCGGGGTCGGAGCAAAACAAAGAATAGGCAAGTGGACGAGGGCATGGAAGACCCTGGACCCAGAGATCAAGGATTCTTTGCACAGGCAGGTCCCTGTCATGTCTCATCTGTCAAGGCAATCTGGTAGGGCAACTCCGTTGCCCAGCTGTTCTTGTTCAGGCAGTGTGGTGGCTACTTGTGCTGCTGGCTGCAGGTATGAGGTTCTACCACAGTCATGGATATTCGATAACCTATTTCTTATGGGAGATGGAGCGCGGAAGAACATGAAACTGCCGAAGGAATTCTGCAGGACAGATGAGGTTCTGACTGAGTTCGCATGAAACTGTTTGTTCTTGCCTGTGGATTTTCAGCTTCTGTTTCAGGACAGCTCTGGAGATGGCAGTGAAAGAATCTTGGCACATCTTCAAACATTCCGAATGTTGTTCATCAGAACTGTGCATTGACAAAGCTCATGCTGGTGACTGGTCTTTGCTGCCATAGACTGCAGATGCCTCACATTCTGGCTCTTTGGCAGTTCCAGTCCGAAGACATAGCATCATTTCTAGCAGAACCCATGGAAGTCGAATCCAAGAGAGTGCAGTTTGTTGACAGAGTTCCGTTCCCCAGGCATAAAATTCTTCTTTTTCAACGGGTGTCAATATGCTATCCATATTAATTAAATTAAGGGATACAAGAAGTAGGGTTGCAGCCTCCACCATGTTGATTATCGACGACGAGGAGAATGGTGACTCACCTGATTTGGGTGCAGCCAGCGCGGCTGTGGCTGCTGCTGTGGATGATGATGATGATGATGATGCCTTAGATTTTGGCAAGCCGGCAGCTCCTGATAGGTCCTCCTCGGCCCGCCCGGTTCAGAAAACGAACACAGCATCGACGAGAATCACCGAAGAGGTTGAGGATGACTATGTTCCTTTATGCTTTGGTGCTGTAGGAGACTCCAAGCCGGAATCAGCAGCCCTGGCAACTGCAGCTCCAACAGATGTTCCGAAGAAGAAGAAGAAGAGAAAAGCCTCCTCGTTGTCCGGGACTGCCAAAGCGGGAGGCAGCAAGCCGAAGCCTGGGAAAATGGCCCAGCGGGTGCGATCAATAAAGAAAAGGTCTGGTCAGAGGGAGGAACCAGACCCACGTTCTGCTTCTGATATCGATGCAGAAGTTCAGCAACTTTTCAAGACGGGAGGCCGGGCCAAACATGCTTGTGTGCCGGTGTGTGACATGGCAATAAGCTGTTGTGCTGAATTTCTATGAGAGGCAGAATCTTGCTGGAGATATTTTGTGGAGCAGCCATGATTGTCCAGGCCGCCAGAGGTGTAGGCCACTGTCCAGCAATGAAGACTAAGAATGAATGCAGTCCCATGTCATAGGTTTGTAAGGTTTCTGCATTCCCTGCCACTTCGATGCTGGTTCATTGCAACCAGTGCCCCATGCCAGAGGTCTTGTGGCAGTGGGCTTGGATTCCAAGCAGGGTGAGGATGTGACAGACCCGGCAATTTTGGACAAGATTTTGTCGTGGATCAAGGCGGGGCTCATACTGGCTGTGGCCCAGCTGAAGTATGCAGCACATCACAGAGTGTTGCATGGAAGTTCCATGGGTCATTGAGTACTCTAAACAGCCCAGTCCTTGAGTTAGGTATGGTTGTCACCGCCGTGCAACTCCTTCAGCCGGGCAAGGAGGGGTAAGAAGAAACGTGGCCAGCGCCGTGGATTTCCAGCTGCACTTCGCTCCAAGCAGCAACCATGGGGATTACCGGAGCTTGATATGACTGTCGCTCGGCGAAAGCTTCTAGTGCTCAGCAACGTTGGCATGACTCACAACATGTGCACTGTCACTCAGTTTGCTGAGCCAACTCCTTTTTTTGCTCATATTGCAAGATCAGGATCGTGACAGGTCAAAGGTGCGGATGGGCAACACATGCGTCAGAGCTGCACTTTCCATCATAGATGTGTGCTGTGGACACCGTGTTCCCGTGGTGCTGGAACATCCACAAACTTCCTGGATGTGGTCGCTTCCGGAACTGTCAGAGCGGATGGAAAAGACCAGCACACAGGACATTGCCTGTACAATGTGTGCTTTCGGGACATTGTACAAGAAGCCCATGAGGCTATTCATGTGGAACTCGACTTTTCAACCAGAGAACCCCAAGTGCATCAAGTGTAAACCGAAGAAGGAGAAACCCGGTCGACGAGGACCAGTTCTGTGCAGTTTTACAGGTAAGGCCCACAGCAGGTTGAGTGGGGCCATGTCTCAGGGAAACAAAAAGTTCAAGACCAGTGGTACCGAAGAGTACCCTGCTCCTTTTGCAGACTGGGCACTTCGTTTATTGATGGGCAAGACTGAGTCTTAACTGCGAGTTCATATTGGACTCGGGATTCAGCAGAAACTTGAAGGTCTGAGGCCATGGATGCTACACGGAAAAAGATTTCTCAGCTACTCTGACTGCCAGCTTCATTCAATCTTCCCACCTGTAAGCTTCGACTTGTTAAAAGCCTTTGACAAAATCTCTATCCAAGGTCCATGAGGATGGTGGAAAGGGGCTGAGCCTCGACAGCAAATGTTTCTGTGGCTTAGCTGCGTGTATAACTCATGGCTCATGTCCTGATTCCAAGGAGTGAAACCGCATTCAAAAAGGATATCTGTGCCCCGCTCGGCTACCTGGCCCAATGGCAGAACTATGCTATCCGCACGTTCGGCCAAGTTGCGACGGGTTCACCGGCTTTCGGCCGCTTGATCGAGACACTACAAACCCGGCAGGGATTGGAAAAGGTGAAATCCTGCCAGCAGTCCGGCACTGCGCTACATGGAAAATCATCGAGCGACATAGGCATTCAGGACCTGCTTCGAGGGGTTTCGGTGTAACATCATGTTTCACTTGCAGAGTCTGGGCACATGCTCCGTCATTATAAACAATCTGCTCGACAGGAAGTGAACCAATTGTGGCTCGAGTTCAAGAAGCAGAAAGCTGGTGCAGCCTTGGTCAGCAAGAAGCCCGAAGCAACCATGAAGGAGGAAGCAAAGGATGCGCCCACCGGTCAGACACAGACTGAGACGCTCAGCGATACGGCCACTGCCAGTGGCACAAGCATCGAGGTGGTCGACCTCTCGATGACGGTGCTGCCGGAGGAGCCCGAAGATCCGGTTCAGAAGGCAGCCCGAGAGAAGTCACATGCCGAGCTGGACCATGTCTTTATCCAAACG